ATGGGAATAATGGCCATTGGTAAGATGAATGGGAGATTTGGGTCCCGCTCCCCAAACAGGCAAAACAGTCTGCCCTATGATAAGCGAGGGCAGGCTGATCTGAAGGCCATGGAGGATGAGAGGAAGATGGGAGGAAGAATCATGTAATAGGGGAAGGATGTAGTTCATATACGAATTATGAGTAATAGACAAAACATCACATACCTGAAAAATAAAATTCAAAAAAAGACGATGAGGACTGAATAGATTCCTCAGGTAGGGTTTGGGAAGGCACGGCGCTCTCGGGAGGGGGGGGGGGACAAATGATCAAAATCATTGTCAACACGGGTAAATCAAATGCTTTTGAAAATAAAGTAAAAGAAATTCTTGGAATAAAGTAAATTAAATCAAGTTAAACAACTCTGAGAAGTAATGAACAAGAAGAAAGTCTAAACTCTAGCACTGCTAAACGAGAAGTGATGATTCGGTAGTGGCGCATAGAGTCACATGTATCACATGATAGTAGTGATCTCCTATTGGTGGAGAGATGATACATGATTTCCATGAAAGACATGTTGGAATCTTTGATTCCAATAGGAGTGCGTGGAAGACTTGTGGCATGCATTATAAAAAAATGTTTGCATATAGAAGGCAGCACAGAAATGGAAATGTAATCATGTGAGAGGAGAGAAGTACCATATCTAAATTGGCATTATTACTATATTTCATCGTGAACAGCATTTGCACACGAAACCCAATGATGGTTTCTAATTTATGCACAGTGGATGTGTTAGAAAAACTAACACTAGAGAGATGAAAATAGCCAGGACTGTTAATCAGCTGGCCAAATATACAAAAACTTGGATTATTAATTTGTATTTTCAACAACAGTTCTTAGATTTCACAAAAATTTAAAAGAGAAATGTTAAAAAAACATTAGGCACAGAACAACAGAAATGATACATATCTGAAGAACTATGTTTTGTTTTTAATAAGACAATTACATACAATTTTCAAGAACACCTATTACACTTTCAATACGGGCTTGGTCAATTTGACTGACCACAAGACCTTTTTTGTATTTGTTTAAAGTCTTCACAGATTTAATACTTATAACTCTCAATATATTGGGTATATCTTCATGAAATTTGGCAGTCTTTCAGTTAATATTACAAGTCTTTCATATACAAAAACCCATATTTCTTAGTGAAGTATTTTTCATAAAATAAAATAAAGATTTGTCCATGAATATATTCAGTATTTGTTTTGAATAGTCCGTGTGCAAAGTAATTTTCATGTTAAAGTTAAAAATACTCTTCCTCATTTCAAGAATCTCAAATTTCCTTTGTGTAATCCCTAAAAGTAAAACCTCCTAAATGCATTTAAAACGTTTTTTCAGTAAATACATATAGTTTATCTGTTATTTTCTCTACCCTATCTCACAACGGGATTGGTCAATTCGACTGACCTCCTAACCACCAAAAAAAAAAAAATCTAATAAACCTAAA